TGGGTCAGGAAAATGCAGTTTTGACTATCAATACCTGTTTGTTAGCATTAGCCTTGTCCAAAGTGAAAACTTTGATGTTTAACTGCTGAATGGACCTGGACATAGACTGCAACATTGTGGTCAAAGTTGTGGCTAGAACTGCCTGCCCCCAAGGTTTAACTACAGCTAGGTGACAGTACAGTGGAGTGCAGTTTGCCCATATCTTGATTAAATGCAGAACTGGTAGTAATCATGAGATCAGCTTTGAGTTAAAATTTGTGTTTATGCATGATAAAAACTCCTAATCTGTACATAATGGGTGACATTTGTCAGTGTTCAGACACCCTCAGGTTAGGTGGAAAAAGGGGGAAGGTAGCCTTGTTTTTGAAAAATAAAAATATAAAGCAAAGCACATCTTAATGTGAATAACATTAGGTGAATTCTTCCCACCCTCGGGGAGCATCATTTTGTGAACACCGGGCATGGTGGAAGTTGTGGTTGTAGAGTTCTGCCATGGGAAGACAGCATAGCAGAGAGAACCTATTAAAACATACACAGATTTGCTTCCCAGTCTGGTTGTTTATCTTGTATATTTTAAATACTAAGATTATCATTTCAGGATTAGCAGAATCCGTTAGATCTCCAAAAGTGCAGCTTCAAAGTCAGCTGAACTTCCCTACTGATGGAAGGGGTGAGGAATGCAGAACGTATGAATTGTCCATCAGGGAAAAAATAATGCCTTGATAACAGAAATTTAGAAGAAGGGACAACTTAGCAGATATTCAAAGTTGTAATGAATCCTGTTTGGATATACAGATAAAACTCAAAGGAGGGGAAGGTTAAGGCAGGAACTTAAAGCCCTCTAACAGCTCGACTTCAAAGGTCAGTTTATTTACATATCATATTGAGGAGATTAATGCCAAAGACAGAAGAACAGGTGTTCTTTCTCAGCTTTACTCTATGGACCACAGTTCTATTTGTTTCCCTGTCCTGCTGCACTCCTCAGTCGAGTATGGGACCATGCACTCATCTAAATCGGTAATTAGACTTCAATACCTGGTCTCAAAGCACTGTGGGAATTGCAGATGTTTTGGAGTGGATGGAATGATACAAGCCCTCCTGTTGAGCATCCTTGTCCATCTTGGAATACTAACTTTGAACTTTTTGTCTCAATTTTGGTGTGTGGGAGTGAGTGTTACATGCTTCTAAATATGAAAACACAGTACACATTTTAAAAGAAATATACATTATTCATTTCTCCTAAGGGAATACTTGAATCTTACTTTCAACTTTTAGCCACAGATACACAATTTCTGGTTTAAAAGGCAGGAGTTTTCACATGTTGTGATTTTTTTCCCCTCCCACTGCCTTCCTCCCCTGCTGCTGTCTTTTCTTATCATTAATTTGGGTATTCTGTCCTCAGCTGAGGGAGGGGTAAAGGATAGCAAATTAATTATGTGGTGCTGAATTATGATTCAGGGCTGTATTTCTTGGGCTGCTGAGTCTATTTTGATGAGCATAAAAGTCCAGAAACACTTAGCAGAGATTGTTTTCATCCTCTGGGGCAGATTTTCAGTGTGTAAAGGAAAGTAGTGGATGTATCAGGAGTTTCCTGTTGATGTGTTCATGGTGGAGCTGAAAGAAATGTGAGGTAGGATTGACTTTTGGCTGTCCATTCATTGTGCTGGGCGGGCAGGACTGACATGGAATTACGTCTCTTTGCTTGACTTTTAGTCTTTCTGAGCTCTAACAGAGAAATGGGGCCTCCATGCTTTTTAAAATGGCTTTAACAAAATGAGGTTTTTTGATAGTGAAATTTTTGTCTCTGCATCAACACAGCTCCTGTTAACTTTCATGGAATTAGTTTTAAGTGGGCAGTAGACTGAGGTGAGCGAATACAGCAAATTGCATTCACAGAGGTGGTTGTGGGACAGTAATGTAACAAAAATGTAAGTGGATTAGGCCCTTAATGCCACTAGAGATAAGGAGATTTGTGTGTCCAGCTGTGTGTGAAGTTGAACTACTGGTTAGGTGCATATGCAAAAAAAGGATTGGATTAAAAAAAACAAAATGGGAGAAAGGTTACGTGTCTTCAGCAGCATCTCTGATCAGTGCCACCTTGCAGGGATCCACGTTAAACAGTCTCTAACAATTATGTAAAAGAAAGGTAAACAGCATGTTAATGAAACTCACCAGGGTATTAAATATAAGGCACTGCAAACATTAAAATAGTAGAGAAATGATACAGGAGACTTGAAGGTCTTAGCAGAATAGACAGAAAAGCAAATTCAGCCTAAGACTCATAAGTAAAAAAAACATAAATGAGGTAGGTGACACCCAGAAAACTGGACTTAGAAAATGATCTCCGTGTGGTTGGAAACAACAGTGAGCTGCACTGATGATACCAGCAAGCACTGAAGGCAGTGACTTGTCATTTGGTTTTGTAGCAAATAAAACACGATTGTTGACTTCGGGGCTTAGCTCAACAGCAGTGTGAGGAGAAGCTGTACGGTATACAGTCACATCCATTTAGGTCTGTGCTGTTTGTGTCTGCCATGATTTTTATGTGAGGATAGTGGATTTACAAGTAAAGGAAATTGATCACTGTTCGAGTTCAAAATAAAACTTCTGCATTACAGTTACTTGTTTAGCATTTAAATATGTTTTTCCCCTCACATGTTACATTATTCCTCTTACACTCCCTCTTTCAGCTTGCTTAGCGTTGTGTTTAGATGGTACCTCCTGAAAATTCAGATATAATATGCAATTACATTATATTTCACGTTAATGACTAAACGCTTGTTTGGTGAAGTTTTTGAAAATTATTTGGGTTTTGGGTTTTTTTTAATTCAATGCTAAAAATTATGAGGACTTTCTTTTAAAGTCAATGAGAGATGACACAATGGATCATAAAGATTCATTTTGAACCCTTGCACTCTGTTAACAATAAAAGGGCTGGAAGGAATTTATAACTTCATTTTATTTTCTTCACTAGTTGTTATGTCTCCTTTGGAACTGTTTCCTTATTATGGTCTATCATGTAAATATTGTTTGAACCATTTTTAGTGTACACAGTACCATAAAACTCTAATTATTTATTTTGACAGTTGTTATTTTAGTTATTAATATGCACTTTATAGCTGAGAGTTCTTCTGTTTTGTCAGTCTGTGGTTTAGTGGTGTTTGTTAAAAATCATATGATTGTTCATACAGCTTAAAAAGTAATAAATTCCTGTGCTCAAGAATATGAGTCAGTGCTAGCTCCATAGAAGTCTTTTGATGTCCAGTGTTTTTCATAATTGCCTATTAAAGAGTTTCTTATGTAAGCATTATGGAAAGCACTCAAAAATGAAGAGTGGCGTTGTTTTGGGTGGATATGCTGGGTCCTTTAATCTGGGCTCTGCACTCAAAGTTGGCAGAGTAACCAGTGGGATTAGAAAAGGCAGTGTGTCTTAAGGCCACACTAGATGAAGGAGGAGTGTCTCTGCCTGAGGAGTAGGTGGTACTGGACTTCTGTTTCCCAAACAAACCATTTCACAGCCACACAACATTCCGCTTCCTTTATTTCTAGGCTTTATACTTTCCCTCCTAAAGTCTTTGAACTGTAATAGGCCTTACAGTGTTGTGTAATGTTAATGTGTTTTCTCTGGGCAGACATGATAGTGGTGCTTTAAACACGGTGCTTTAATACTAGATGTGGGAACATAAGGCTTTTCTCTGTTAACATCGGGTGACACAATAGGATTGGATCTGGAGGGTGAAATACGTAGTGATCCCAGTGTCTAGGCTGTGCTTGCTGCAAGGGATTTTTGTTTGGGTTAGCTCTGGTTTCATCTTGTGGACCTTAATGCCGTTTCTGGAGGGATGTTAAATGCTGTGAGTGTGTTAATACCTATAAGTTTTTGGTATTCTGTGAAAATGTGTAATTTAAGGGTTTGGTTTGGAAGCTCTTACCCACCCTTTAGAGACGGAACAGGGAGAGAAAGAAAACTGAGTTGCAGCACCTAACACTTTGACTTCTTCTTTGAACGGAGCCTCCTTCTCTTCACTGACTGTGCAGGTGATCTCCAAACGTGGGCATCTTAAGTCCATGAGAGTGACTGTCTGAGACAGTCTTTATTTTGTGCTTGTATAGTATCTACCATGATGCCAGCCTACTACATCTGATAACTATGGAAAAACAAGTTACTGTAATTGTAGCTCAGGCTGCTGGAAAGCTGAAAGGAGTTATAGGAGTATTGGGGGGGGACAACAGGTCTTGTGCAAAAGCTGAACTTTGCTTGGTGTTGTTCACCGGAGTTTTTTAGCTACAACACACCAGCCTTTTGGTCTGGGATTTGTCTGTGCTGAAAAGCCACAGCAAAACTAGATGGTTGCAACCATAACCCCTGACCAAAATGTTTGTGTGTAATAGTAATGAACCAGGAGTTCCAAGAGGGTGTGCATGATTCTAGTCAGGAAATGCATTGTTCATATATAAACATCCTCCACTTAAGGAAGGTGTACGAGTATGATGCCTCCAGATTTGTGTATGAAACACCGTGTTTGAAGTTGCCTCTCACTTCCTCCATACTCGAGAAGGCACATAATACTTACTGGTAGTTTGGGTATTTTTAATTAGTTTGTTTTCCTCTAAGCACACAAGCCCATGAGTTAATCTAGACGCAGCCAAAGAGTAAGCATAGTGAAAGCTCTTGCAGGAAAACTCGCAGACACCTGTATCCTCATTTTGCCATTGCAGATTTGCGTTTGCCATCAAAGTGCATGTTGTATCTCCTTGTCCACACAACTCCTCACATGTGCATGGCGGTTTGAAAAAAGTAGAATTGGTATATTGATTAAAACCAAGAAAAGTTGTACCATATGTTAATGTGTTTCCCCTGATGTCCCAGTTGGACTGACTTAGAAATTCTGGTCATAAGACAGTTAATAAGCTTTACAAGTGAATGTGTTTTATGTACTCAACTATTCTTTGATCTCACACTCTATCCTAAAAATGAAGTCTCTGATTCTGATTGCTAGAACCCCTCTGATTGCTGCGGGAGTTATTGGTGGCCTCTTCATCATCGTCATTGTGGGCCTGACATTTGCTGTGTATGTTCGACGCAAAAGCATTAAAAAGAAGAGGGCATTGCGAAGATTCCTGGAAACTGAGGTGAGAGTGTGCTTCTCGTTGAATATTTGAAAAGATATGTAGAGCTGTTCTGCTTTTGTATTAAAGATGTTCAGGTCTTCAATCCAGTTAGCAGAGAGGTCTGTAGAAATCCTTTTGCTAGTTTCTGCAGGACTAAACTGATGGGATGAATGAAGCTATTTCAAGGTCTTAGTCATGTTCTACCAGATTTTTGGACTTCCATCCTGCTCTCAGCTGAACTTCTATCCCAGTTCATCAATGCATTTAGCAGCGCTCATGCTTAAATGTGACAGATTTTCATCCACTGCGTACTGAGGTTAACTTTTGAGACTGAAGTAAATTCTTTCAGCAAGCTCTGATGCAAACTTAAGCTTATCAGGGATACTTAAATGCAGAGATTGTCACCTACTGTGATTCCCAATGCCTGTATTGCCTTTGTGGTCTAGATTTCTGTCACAGTCTGTAGTCATGATCGGTAATAATGATGCATTTTATTAAGCCAAGATACTTCGCAGAGCTTAACCAAATGAGGTTCACAGTTCTACTGGCAAAAAATACGTAGTGGCGCTATAGGATGGAGTGCTGTGCCCACTCCATCCTGCTCTTTGAAGTGCCAGTAGTGGAGGGGACAATCTAGGAAATATATTTAAACATAACATTAAATCTTTATCTGTCAGCTACAGCCAAGGTGATTACTATCTCCTCAGTCCTATGCTTGAGACACTTTGCAAGTGATGATATTTTACAACTAGGGTCCCCCTTGTAAGGTAATAAAGCTGGAGAATATTATTAGCTAGTGATTCTTTGACAGTGCTGTTTTCTGTTCTGTTCCAAGGGTCCTGCTCCCACTCGTCTCCACTGTAGAGCCTGGGAGCAAATGAGACATGCATCCCCAGCCTGTTTCCCTAAGTATCTCTATGCTTGGCTAGAATTTGTGTTGCTTCTTAAGCACAATACAGTTGTATAGAAAGCTTAACAATACTCAGTGCCTTTACATAAGTCTTGCCATTGTATCAGCCCTTAGTTAAGCACAAATGATTTTAAGCAGGTAGTTTTCATTGGATTTAAGAAATACTGGCTGTGAAGTCCCACTCTCATTCTCCATTGGTCAGATAGAAGTAGTGGCTGACAGCAGTTCCTGAGGGAACCAGGACGCCTACTGAGCATGTGGGGAAGCTGTTGTCTTGACTTAGATACTGAAGATTAGATCAGGAGCATCCCGAGATAAACATATAAGCAACTACAGCTTCAGCTGAAGTCTTTATTTCTAGCTGAAGGCTATAGCAGATCTGTTCTTTCTGTAGATCATTCTCAGTAAAACTCTACAGGCATTTTTTTAGATGCCCACACCACTTCTACCTGCAATACCTGTGTGTTGGTGGACTGTGCACAGAAGCTGTTTTCACCCTTCACAAATTGAAAATGCAGTAGTGTACTGCCAGTCTGCCTACTTTTCTTTTACAGTAAACCTTCTTTCTTTCACCATGTAAGTACTGGACATCTAAAGTGGGAAAGAGGAAAGAGAAATCACACTAAAAAAAGTATAGCACACAAATTATTTCTGCAGTAAACCCAACTTGTTGCTATTTGGTTTTGTTACATTTTCTTACTCCAGTAATTTCCAGATACTGGTATTTTTTACCTGAACCAAAGTAGTCTGGTCAACTAATTAAGTAGTTCATGATGCTCAAAGAGCCATAGAAGTAGTTTGCAAACTGCAGAGCATTGTGCATTTACCCTTGTATTAAACAGATGACTTTGAAATACTGCAGTAGTTTCAAACCAATTTGAGTAGGAATAGCCCTGAACTATTTTCCTCATCCTGTAAAGAAACAGACTGATTTTCATTGTTTAGAGTATTGTCCTTTTCATGCATTTTTAATTTATTTTTAAAGAAGCATTGGTTTTTCTGGCAGAGGTGGTATAATGTTGAGATCTGGAAGCATTTTTAACTGAATGCGCCATTGTGGCTCATTTACAAAGTTTCTTGGGACATCTTGAGCAAATTGTTTAATTGTGCCTCTTTTGCAGTAAGTTAGTGGCTGTTATAAATTAGTGCTCTGCTATAAGATGTTTTCTCCTTAAAGCTGTCCTCCTGTGTGGTATAACAGAAGTTCAGAAAAATAGTCCCTTCCCCAAAACAGAATAAGAATGTGATGAGCCATTAAGTCGGGGCTATTAAAAAGAAATATGACCAGCTTAAAAGGCACTAAAATGGGCAAAAGTGGAATGTGGTGCACTGATAATAAATGCTGTATTTCTGTCATGTAGAAAATATTTATACTGCCTCCATTAGCAAAAGTCCTTGGGTACGTTGTTGTGACACCAATTCAATTTCCAGTTTGTAATTCCATCATGCAATTCCTGATGGAAATTACTACATGTTGAGTGAGGATTTTCTTTATTAGATCTCTTGGTTTCATTGCTTGCTTGTTTTGAAGGTGAGAAATCCCTCCACAAGTTGGCAGGTCAATGGTCAATAGACCCCACCACTGTCTTATTCCAGTTATTTAGTTGAATTGTTTGTTTTCAGTATAAACTTCTGGCAGGTCTTCACATTTTAAAATATTTAAGATTGTTGGATTTTCCTTCATAGCTTGTGGAGCCCTTGACTCCAAGTGGCACAGCACCCAACCAAGCACAGCTTCGTATCCTGAAGGAAACAGAGCTGAAAAGAGTCAAGGTTCTTGGCTCTGGAGCCTTTGGAACTGTATACAAGGTAAGAGTCTTGAATATACAGCAGTGAGTTCCCTCATTTAACTTTTAAACAGTCAGGTTGTGCATTGCAGCAAAGCATCCCGTACTGTGGATGACTTCATGAGTCCTAAGTGTCTGGGAAGCTCATAGGATAATGGAATTGTGTGGGAGGAGCACATCTTCAGGCTTAAACACTGACTTCAGTTTAATCAGACGTGCAGATTTTTTTGGTGAGAAAAGGCGTGTCAGCCACAAGCAGCCCTGCATGCAAGAGGACTACACAAGCTGAGCTGTCTTGATACTAAAATGTGGTAACAAAGTTTGTCATTCTGTCCTTACTTAATGGCTTTACAGCACACTTTTGGAAAGCTAGATAAACTTTGTCTATCATTTCACAAGTGTCACATGGGTCTTGTAATAGTAATCGTACCTTGTAAAACAGTATTGTCATTAGCTAAACCATAATACTTTTTGTTTCTTCCATTTAAATAGAAAAGTTGAGTTATGTCAGTGCACCCTTTAACATCCGGGGTGTAAGAGCAGAACCCACAAGGGAAAAAATACTTGAGTTAAAGATTTATTTTTTTTTAAGATCTGTTGGTTATGTCCAAATCTCAAAGGCATGAAGTAGGGCTTAATGAGCAAGTTAAACCAATCACCCAATGCTTTGGGAGCAACACAAACCTGCCACGTTGAGGTGGTAGGCCAGAGCACTGGGGGAGGGCAGATACTGTATCTGTCTTCAAACTGGGGAGGAAAGAGAGGAAGTACAGACCAGGTCTCTACAGCTACAAGGTCATGGGAATACATGTTTGAATAATCAGTTTTACTATGCTTAGACAATAATAAAGTGATAGAGATGGGTAGCCAAGAGCACAGGAATAGTCAAGAAGGATGGAAAAGTAGCCCAAGAGGTAACACAGTTTTTGAATTTTAAATTTAAAATTTACTCTTTAGCCATCTCAGCTTTTAATTCTCAGATACCAATTAGTTTTGTGGAGTTTTTATTATTTTATAACTTTGTATATTCTCAGTTCTCGGGTTTGTAACTAAACTGCGTAATATGACAAAATGCATCATAAAGAACTGTCACTGAATTAAGTTTCTATGATTGTTATGTGTCACTTTTTAAAAAAATTTCTAGGGCATTTGGGTCCCTGAGGGAGAAACTGTGAAGATTCCTGTGGCCATTAAGATCCTTAATGAGACCACTGGTCCGAAAGCCAATGTGGAGTTCATGGATGTAAGTACAAGATTATCAGTGTCTCAGGTCTGGGGGGGGACGGAGAGAGGGGTGTCTTTGTGTAGTCCACAGTGATTGCAAAGAGGAATTTCTGCCAGTTTTCTTTCCTTACATTTAAATAGCAGAAGGAGGCTTGTACACAGGACTGATGTGCTGATGCTTAACAAGTGCTCCATTATCGTGACCCAGAAACTCAGCTGCTGGTATTTTGTGTGTAGGCTGTTTCCCTCCTTCCCTTAGTCTTTGACAGTCTCAGTGTCAATGCATATCTATAGCGTTCTATTGCAGCAGTGTTCAAACAAAAAAACAACCAAAAAACCCCAACCAAGGTTACACCTCAGCTGTGAGTAGGTCAGTGCTGCTTCTCTGAGGCTGTAGAGCTAGACAGATCTGTATGAGGCAATGCTCTGCCTGGTTTAGTTTATTGCACATAGATCATTCCATTCCAGAAGCAGAAGTACCTGCTTTAGCAGGTAATGAAGGGCTGGGTTTTTCACTGTGCAAATATCATGGACCCGAAGATGCCTGGAATTTTCTTATAAATAGTCTTCCAATCAGTGGAAGGCTGAAACTCCTCTGTCTCATGTGCCAGGTATTTTATCTTTCCATGGCAGAGACGTTAGAGATGAGAGAGAAGGAGTTGCAGGGTAGCATCTTGCCATGTATGCAAGTCTCCACTGGTGCAGAACTCACAGGAACAGAAACCTCACCCCCCTTCTGCTTCAGCGTTCCTGAGAACTAAGCACTGAGAGGCTGGGAGCTGTCAACCGCAACAAAGCGTAACAGGGAGGGGAAAGAAAATTCAAATATGCTGGATTTTAAAAGCCCTTTTGCTTTACTCATCTGAAATGTTGTTCAGAAGAGGTCAAGATCATAGTTTTCATTAACGTTCTATGTTCACAAAGACTGTGCACTTGGTTTTTAGCTCTGTGTCAAGATCAAACCTCATTGACACTGTGAATGTGTATGTCCTCATCAGTGACAATTTTTTGACAACTCATAGACATTTGCACTTTTTTAAAATCCCTTTTGTGAACTTGAAAATTACATAGGACTTTTAAGTCTTGAAGATGTGTTCAGTGTATAGGCTTAATTTGGTTAGCATTAATGCGACTGTAAACCACATATCACTGTATGAAAGTACTCCCGTTATGTAGTCTATTCTTCCATCTAGAAATGAATAGAAATGTATGGTTATGGATTTAGCTATTTCAGACAAATTATTACGTGGGAGTTCTAAGGCAATTGAATGAAGGCTGTAAAGATGAAGGGGTTTCCTGTGCTTTTTACAGAGCACTGGACATTTATGTTGATGACATTCAGTAATCACTGTGCACAAATTTAAAAAAAAAAATAAATAAAAAGGCCATTTTGTCCCTGTTCAAAAGGAATGAATTGTACTAAAGGGATAAATAGTTTTAGATGTTTGGTTAATGAACAAAACAGTGGTCAAGAGTCTTGTTAATGGTAGAGATCCAAAGAGAGGAGAGCTGGTACTCAGCACCCTTTTGAAGTGAGCGTGCAGGGAGTGCAAGGCTGCTGAATGTGACCTGCACTCCGTATCTGATGCCAGCGATGTAGATTCCAGCCTCAAGATGAGGGAATTGTTATCACTGTATGAAAGTCAGTGGAACTGAGCAACTTGCACCAGGTGAGGATCTGACCCTGTATCTGATAGAGAAATAATAGTAATATCTCCTTCTTTGATATTGATTAACCTTGAAGCGCTCTACAAAGAAAACATAAGGTCCTTGTTAAAAGACAAAGTTACTTGTCTGAGGTTTCATAGCTCAGCTCGATCTGCTGACTTAATTCACTGGACCACATTTCCCTCCAGTGTATGCATCGTAACAGCTGATAAATGGCTCGGAAATTATGAAGGTTTTTTGGAAACTATAGAGATTTTAACTCAGTAAGGTACAGCCACACTATGAATGCTTTCTCTTTAAACTAACAGTTTCTCACGAATCTCTGACCCAGTGGTAAAATGGTGAGAGAAAAGTGAAGGTTATTTGTAGTCCTAGAGGTTAATAATAACCTAAAGGTTATTTTTAATCCTAATAAAAAAGAATTTTACTTCATCATTAGATGATACAAGTGACAATAAGAAGTAAGATGTTTTGTATCAGTGCTGCATTTGATACATTTGCAGCGGTCTGTAACATCCTTTGCTGTACTGCATTGATGAAGATGATGATTTAATTATTTTGAAATAATTGCTCATGCAATTGTACACATTTTCCTGCCATCCTTACCTCCTAACCCAGTCATTTATTTCCTGAAACCACATTTTTAAAAGAGAATGACCTAGGCATTGTCTCTTATTTTAATGTGACTGCTCCTCTCTGTCCTTTAAAGGGCTTATTTTAAAACTTTTTAAAATTTTAACCTATGAAAAGGAGATAAAATAAATGTATTTTATTGAAGGGTAAGTTATTGTAGAAAAATGTGGTTTATTCATTCTCACTCCAAGGCTTTGGTCAGTATAACTATCCTAATAAAACTTGATACTGTTCACTGGTGTTATTTTATGAGGAAAATTTCAGTGTACATATGAAAGCAAGATGCATCAGTTGTGATTTCAGTAAAAAGAGAATTATGAATAGTCGTTGGTTAAAAACAGTTGTATCAGATTTTTTAAAGGCATATAGGTGGCCAAGTACCATTGTGAACATAGTGGGGGGTTAACTTTCTTAAGTGTCTGACCTATTGGGTATGAATGGGAAGAGGAGGTTAGTGGGAAGGAGGTGTCGTTATGAGAGTCACACCCTTGACTTTCATTGTTTTGTACTTGTCAAGTACAGGTGTGCTTTTGTCAGCAATTACTTCTGATGTAATTGTGTATGTCCTTCTACTTGCAAGTAAAACGTAGCATTCCTTTTAGAGAGGCTCTGGAAAATGTAAAGCCTCTTGTAACAGCAGTTTGTGTACAGAGAGAGTACTTGGGACACTTCAGTGCTGCTACAGAAATAGCAGGTCTAGATGTTAGTGGCATTGTCTATAGGCTCTGGTTAAAACTTCTAACGCTGGCCGAGCCTAAGTCTGAAAGTGCTCTGTGAGCTCCTGAAATTCTGTTAAATGCTATGCTAAAAGAATAAAGAACAACAATTTGGCTACTGGGCTGCCATTTCAGCACCTTGAACACCACTAATGGATCTGTAATGACTATAATGACATAATGCATGATGTTAGCACCTGCTATGGCCAAACAACCTCCCACCCTTCTCCCATCAGGGCATGATGAATTGGCCATCATCAAAAAGTACATCCCCTATGTAGAATTTTTCTTCGGGGGGTTGCAGCAGTGTCTGTTTTCTGGGCTTTCTCCAAACTTTCCCAGCTAGCTTTTTTTCTTTTACTCTGCTCACTGCTTTCTTACATAGTTTTTATAACTGTAGTAGCCCGTGACTGTTACAACAGTGCAAGCTGAAGTCTGATAAGCAACCCATACTGCCTTCTCTGGGGCAGAAGCAGAATCTACCTGTAGATTTCTATGGATTCGTTTTCACTCTACAGAGGTTGTTGCTACTGTTTTGCAAAGTGTAAGTTTACCTTTTTCCTACCTATTTCTGAATATGTATTATCTCTGGAATAATTTCAGTCTAAAGAATTTCCCCTCAGGTGTTGAAATGGTTAGGTGCTTAAGTTGTGGGGCATAGTTTCTCCTCCCTACTTGGCTGGTCACACTTCATTGTCCCTGGAAGGGCAGTGGAATTTGCAGGCATTCTTGCTACTGGTCCGCCTGCAAGCATGTCTGGGAGGGGAGTTACCAGTGGATGCAGGTGGTATCAGGAGGGAAGGATATCCTGCTCCTCATCCTAAGTCTGGCAACAGAATATATGAGGGTCCTGAGTATTAGGAAGGGAAGAGAGGCTTGTTGTGAGGAAAAAGGGCAAATATGCAGCTAGGAGGCTACTTGATAGTAGAACAGGGACTTACAGTTTCACTTGTGAAAACAATTTCCCCTCTTCGGCCTCAAAACTGTTTGACTGTTATAATTGTCTATAAGTCAAGTAGCCTTTGGCCTGACCAGATGGCTTAACATCAAACCAGGTGCTTGATTGATAATGTGATACATTCCAAAGTCATGCTGCAGTTGGAAAGCACAGCAGACCACTTTTAAGGCTAAAAAAAAATTTCTTTAAACTAATGTGTCATGGGGAAACACAATTCATGAGGACCTTTCCTTTCTAGCCCTCTAGCTTGGTGTTTCCAGGAAGTAATCCTGTGAACTGTGATTCTGTCCAGGGTTTTCATCCACTTACAAGTTTAATCTATCCTCTCTGAACTTAAATGCTCCATTATCTGTTAGAAAATAATTAGAGGCTGCAAGCACAGGTCTGCATACACAGAGTTCCTTGGGAGTCCCTGAGCTCATTGAGATGAAGACAGTTTGACTGATGGTGGTCAGCTGATTTTGGGCCAGAAGCTAATAATAGAAGGCAGTGCTGCTTAGCTAGGTGAGAAAGTTAACTTGGGAAAAATTAAACTGAAGGGTTTGGAATTTATGGTCGGAAATAAATTTCCCATTCTCATTTGTTTCCTGGTAAGAGAGCTTCAGAGGCAGTTGGTTTCTTTTATGGTTTTATAATTAAGATCTAGGGGGCTTCTTGACTTCGCCTGGACTTACTGTAGTTCCCCGCTGTCTCTAGGAGCAGCATTCAGTGTGCAGGAGAGCATTTGTCAAGCAGAGTGTAAAGGTAGTAAGTGACAATGACCTCCACCGGGCATGCAGAAAACAAATAAAAGCTGCATATAGGGGGCTGATATAAATAAAAGATGTGGGTATCTGCCATAATTAAGTAAATGAATAAAGCAGTCAGTTGTCTTGTACTGCAAAAAGAAAGAGAAACAGCTTGTCATAAACTGTAAACCTGTCTTACAATAAAGACAAGTCCTCAAGATGTATCAAACTTAAATTTGGTTCAGAGGTTTCAAGAGGCAAAAAAATCATGTGGCTGACTAGCAAAAGAGAATTTTGTCTCCTGTTCAGCTGAAAA